ACCAAAGAAGGTTACACTAACGATCTAGTATGTCTATGTGTTTTCATAAAGAAAAATGAGTCAAAATTTGTGATCATTATAGTATATTGATAATCTAAATCTTATTGAAACTCCCGAAAAGCTCCAATCAACTTGTAATATTTGAAAAGAAATTTAAGATCAATGACTTTGGAAAGACAAAATTTTTCCTTGGTCTTCTAATTGAATATATGGAAAATGTAATATTTTATCCACTAAACGGTTTATACACTACAAAAAAATATCATTTTTGTAACGAAATATTTTCGTCTCTAAATCTACTTTTTTTCGTTATTAATGACATTAGAGATGGAATTATGGATGAAATTACGTTAGCTACGTTAACTTTAGGAACAAAATTCCGTTACAAATATACTATTATTTTTGTAGTGATACCCATAAGGTATTATAATGAATTTATATAGATAAAAACACATATTGAGTACCCTAATGATCACATGTCACTTGCTCTTAACTAAGATCCATTTAGATCAAAAGAAGATGATGAAGAGATACTAGGTCCTGAAGTACCATATCTCAGTGTAACAACTGCACTCATGTATTTAGAAAATTGCACAAGGCCATATATTGTATTTGCAGTAAATTTATTTGCCACATTTAGTTTATCTCTTGTTAAACAACATTGGAATTGAAATAAACATGTTTTGTGCTATCTCCAAAGTACAAGTGATCTCAGCTTGTTTTATCAAATAATTCTCGACGTTATTTATTAGGCTATTCCGATGTTGAATATTTATTTGACCACATAAAACGAAATCGCAAACCGACTATATTCATTTTAATACCTTATGGGTATGAGCCATTTAGTGGATAAATATGATCTATTGAAGATCCATCAAACAGACAATAATCGTCACATCATCAAATCATGCCAAAACATTAACTATTCATGAAGGCAATCGAGAATATGTTTGGTTGAGGTCAATGATCCATCATATTCGAAAAAATTGTGAGTTAATGTCTAAAAATAAAAATTTTCCAACAATCACATATGAAAATAATGAAGCTTGCATTGCCCAATTAAATGAGTGAATATATTAAAGGAGATAGAACAAAATATATTTCACAAATATTTTTATTTACTCATAATCTTCAAAAGAATGGCAAAATCGATGTGCAACAAATTCAACCATATAAAAGTTTCGCAGATTTATTGACCAAGACTCTATCGACAACAAAATTCAACAAATTTATAAAAAAAAATTGGAATGTGTCAGCATAAGGATCTCGAATAAAGTCTAAATCAGGGAAAAAAATCAAAATAATAATGGTGTACTTTTTTTTTTTTACTAAAATTTTTTCCTATAAAATTTTATTCTAATAAGATTTTAACGAGACACATTCTTTATTTAAATAACATCCAAATGGAAGTATTGTAAAATAAGACACCTCGTATACACTGCATGTTATAAATTGTGGATGGTCAAGTAATTAACAAATGGCAATTTCTCATTGAATAATTGTTGGCACAGTCTCAACCGTGTAATCATAGACATGATAATCTATACATACTAATAGTGCATAGAATGAAAATACAATCCTTTTCGACTCTATTTTCCTCTCTCTTACATCTCATTTCTTTCTCTTCCATATATAAAAATATATTATATTATATATATATACACATAAATTGCCAAATAGCATAAATAAATCATTCAATCAATATGACCATCGAATGATTTGTGCATTATGCAAAATGTTGTTGCATTACATTTGTTTGATACTCTTAATCACACAACATATGCTGAGATATGTATTGATAGAGTGGATAATCCATATATTGTCTAATCATTTAAAACAATGCATGCATTATTTACTTTCATCACTACATCAGTCAATTTTTTTTTTTTTCAAACACTCATGAAACGTCAGACAAAGTCTTTTTTAACAATTAACAAATCAGCCATAATATATATAGAACAATTCTATACTGACATCACTAGTATATACATACCTACATACAACAGTACATATATATATATATATATAGGGAATAGATTAGCTGTTGATCCGATCAAATTAGCATGATGGTGATTTGACCGAAGCTATAAGAGTGATCAATAAATATATATATATATACATTTTCAACATATTTATAATACAATATATATTATTTTATACTAAGATATGTATAAATATATGTTAGTCATCTATATAACATATGTTGACCCGATCAAATTAGCACAATCCTGATTTGGTCGGATTAACACAGGATCTGCTACCATATATATATTGCATTCATATATAATATATTTATAATATATACAAAATAGTACATGCAAACATAATATATTTATAATATATATACAAAATAGTAATTAATAGTATAAATAATTAATATTTTTGTTTGTTATTTCTATGATAAGATAATCGAAATTATATTAAAAATAATTTCTTAGGTGTCTTCTTTGGTTTGGATTGAATTTACAATTTAAATTTTTAATTTAAATAATATTTAATTTAATATTCTCTTCGTCCGCCTCTAAAAGTCACATTTACCTTTTACTTCATTATACTTAATAGTATTTTTTCATTTTTTCTTAATTTGTATTACATTCTATAATGATTTATTTTACATTTTTTTAAAAAAATCATAGAATTCTATACTACTTTCTCATTCCCAAATAAATTGTCCAAATTGCTGTAAATACGATAATTTAAGAAATTTAGATATAGTGTAATTAATAAGTAATTAAAAAATATATTAGTAAAAATAATTATTGTATAATAAAAATAATTATATATTAAAATTAAAATAACTAGATAGTTTAATTAACATTAAGAAAAATATAAATTATGAATTTTAAAAATGTAATTCAAATGTATAATACTACCTCCGTCCCGTCTAAGGTCTTATTTAGTTTATGCGTGTTGATATTTAAATATTAATTATTATATCAAAATTTAGTACAAATTAAAAAAAATTGCAAAAGTACTTTCATTTCATTAGTTTATTATAATACTTATAGAAGTACATTTTTTTTTTAAAAAAAAAATACTCCCTCCGTCCACCGCCTATCTATCCGTTTACTTTTTGCACGTAGATTTTAGTATATTATTATTATATTGATATGTGGTACAATTGATATATATAAATACTATTATACCCTTTAACATTTATGGTATTAAGTAGAGCAATGGGTCGATTCGTGTCGGGTTCGTGTCTGGTTGAATACTTTAAACGGGTTAAATTACTCAACCCCAACCCGACCCATTTATTGTTGTTTTCAACTGGGAAATGAGCTAAGGCTAAGCTACGCCAGAATCCCTTGTATGTTCATTAGAAAGTGTGAGGGAAAGGCACACATGCACGATGATCGAGACGGGACGGACACTTGGGATGGGAATGGCTATCTGATTCCAGCTTTCTTCCCTTCCTTGAGGTGGGAGTGGTATTGCATTAATCCGGAGGCAAGCAACTGCCATGGGACTCATAAGCCATTCCTCTAAATCTAGTCGTGTTGGGTTCGTGTTAACCCGTTTATTATCGTGTGAGGTTCGGGTTAACTCGTGTTGACCCGTATACATAATTAAGTCTAATTTCTTGATTCAAATTAAATAATTTTTTATTTTGTTGTCGTGTTATGTTAGTTTTTATTGGTTTGAGCGTAAATTATGTTGAATTATTTAAAATTGAACTTAGTTTAAATTAATTTATGAAAAAATTATTAAATTATGATTATTTTATATATATAATAAATATATTAATCAATACTAATATATTATAATCGGGTTGTCGTGTCGGGTTCGAGTTGAGAGCCTCAACCCTAACCAAACCTGTTTATTATCGTGTCGGGTTCGTGTCAACCCGTATACATAATCGGGTTGAAATCTTTGATCCAAATCCAATTATTTCGTGTCGGGTCAATTTTTGCCAGCTCTAGTATTAAGTGATGTTATTTGATGAAATTTGTGTAATATTATTATATAAAGGGTGGGGTAATTTTATATTTTAGTGGAAGATACATTTACTAAAAATGAAAATTAATACATTTGCGATGGTCAAATTAAAATGACAAAATGAATAGATTAACAGTGGACGAATGTAATATAAATATATAAAAATATTTTTAATACTTCCTCCGTGCAGCTAGAAAGTATACATATTTCTATTTTGGGACGTCCAATTACAAAGTAACCATTTCATTAAATACCCCATTTTTTTCACAAATACCCCTACTTTACATTACATCATTACTTTTATACCAAAAAAAAGTAAGGGCAAAAATGCCATTTCACTACTTTTATCTATACACTATAATTAAAATACTATTATTCCTTAATTTCTGCGCCAAAAGTAAATGTATACTTTTAGCTTGGACGGAGGGAGTATTAAATACAGAGCAATATTTAAAACCAATCAAAATTAAAAAAAAAAAAAATTATATTGGAGGGAGAAGTAAAAAAATACTCAAAGGGTGTGTTTGTTTGGGGATTTGGATTTTGAATTGAGATTTGAATAGTAAAAATTTTGAATTTGAATAGTTGTATGATGTGATATAAATAGGTGTTGATGTGATGTTTTGAATGTAAAATTATTTTTTAGTATAATATAAAAAATAAAAAATAGATATTTGATTTGATATTTTTGAGGAGAAAAAATGGGATGAACAGTAGAAATTAAATCCAATCTCCGGAACCAACACACCCAAACTAAACTAACCTCTAGAGATCCAGGACTAACACACCTTATGCATCCCTATCGTTCATTTGATTCGACGCTAAATGGACGGTGTGGATCTCATAATATTGATATGCCAAGTGCTTCTCATCGCTGGTAACGCAAATCGAGGTCCGTCGATTTCCCATCGTAGGCTCATGATTTGCCAGCAGCCAAAAGTTGGAATCACAATTAAGAAGTTTTTTCACCAATTGATAGTAAAAATTCAGCAGTAAAAAAGAAAAACAAAAAAGTATTAATAATAATAAAAAATAAATAAATTAGAAAATATGGAATATCGCTGAAGCCCTCGTATGATAGATATGGTATGATGTTCTGCCTCTTTTCCTCTGAAATTCTATTTCCACTGGGTCCGGTTACTTTGATAAAGTTTGGTACAATTCATTCGTCAACCATATAAGGTTCTCCAGCTGTTCGGAATTAGGGCGAAAATCTCCCGGGCTATATATATATATATAATCGTGATTCGATTCCCTGTTGCTTGAGTATCCAAATGGTACAGTGATTGGTCTGATTGCAACGAACAAGCGCTCCAGGGTTAGCTCCAAGGTTGGAGGTATTTTTTCTGCTGATTTTGTTTGTTTGTTTGTGGAGAAATATTCTGCTGAGTCATTGTCTTAGTTTGTTGATGGAAGTTGCACTTTTTATTGAATGGTAGTGGTCTTTAATTTTTATATCTCTGTTATCGGATGTTTAATTATTGTGGTTTGACTATATCGCGTTCTATGTGATGATGTTGTACTTACACTGCAGAATTAAGAACGATTAGATTGTTATTGGTGTTATTTATCTGCTTTTCCATCTATCTTTTTTCCTTTCCCCTTTCCACAAATTTGGAATCTTTTTTTGTTTGTTTGTTTTATTGCATATGCACTTAAGTACGTCGGCTCTATACTCCTTTGCATTTTGAGGTGCTTCAGATTTTTAGCAATTAAGTTTGAGCCTGTTTGAGTGGTATTATGCTTGGTGTGGTATATAATGTCCTGTTTAAGTGCTATTTATTAGTAGAAAGTAATGGATATGAAATCCATTTATTTCGTAAAAGTATAAACTGCAGAGCAATTGCAGCTTTTATCTTCACAAGTTGTATTGCTAGATGTCGGAGAGTTTTGTTGAGTACATAAAAGCCATGCTCTACAGGCATGCTTTGCATCACAAATAATTATTGGCATCTTGTTAGAATTTTGGAGGGACTGGATGCTTTAATTCATTTTGTAGCAAAAGTAACAGTGTTGTTGATTAGAAATTCTGGATACCCTTTATATGTTCCTCATTTGATGTTTTACATTCTTTGCAAATTAAATGTACATTCTTGGCATACATGGGATACTGAGTATTGCATAATATGCAAAGATGTTACATGAGATTGGCCATTGAGTAGCATTTTAGCTTTTGGATGTATTGAGTGTGTACTGTAATAAATAATATTATGAGGAAGTATGAGTGCTTTCTATGAAATTCCAAGGTTTGAAAATGAATCATGCAAGTATATGACATTTCTAGCCTCTCGCATCTGCACGGGTTAAATGGAGTTTAGGTTGACTTATAAAAGTCGACATGTGTGTGCCTAAGTTGCAACGATGTTTCTGCGATCATCAATTAGGAGATAAAACTAGCTTCTCCACGAAAGGTAATTTGTAGCACTTTGTAGCTTCGAGCCTGGATGTATTTACTAATTGCTGAGATTAGAGCGACCAGCCGAACTCTTGATTCTTACATGTGACTTTTGAAGTAGAGTTTTGCATAATCTGCTGGCCAATAAAATTTATGAACATAAACTGCTTGACACATCTCATTGTTCTGGGTTTTCAACTGGTCAATTTAATAACACACATTTCATCTCGCATAGTAAATCACAACAGTGGCTTTAAATCTTGATGTCCTGGTTCAACTAAGACCTTGTTTGGTTGTTGCTTTGAAGTAATGTGCTTGTACTTTCAGGGTTGTGTTTTACAAGTTTCAATATAATAGTGTTTGGCTAGTTGGTTCTTGTTCATCAGACATGTAGTATCTCCTTTAAATATGTATAATATTGTATAATCCTAAGATGATGTGATAGTATGTAGGGACCAATGTTTTTTTTGGGTTTAAATGTATGCATGTAGCATATGCACTTACATGGTATAGATTATATAAATAATACTTCATTTTAAAAGTTCATTTTCACTGGATTTTGAATAAAGATTAGCACCTGCATGCATCGGATGTTTTCTTTGTGTATTGTGTTTGAATTTTGAATTTTAAATGCTTTTAAACAACTTCATGGGATCTACATGTCATTAAGCCTATATATAGTTGGTTGTAAATTTATTTGTCTAAATTCATGATTATTTCTTGGCAGTAGAAGGATTAAATAATCTTTATTATAAGACCAAGAAGAGGGGTACCCTTAGCCAGTGTTATTTGTTTCTCTTGGAGGTTGCCCTTAAACATGCCTTCGCTTCAGCTTCTGCAGCTGACTGAACATGGTCGTGGGTTATTGGCATCAAGAAGGTAATCTTTTTTTATCTTTCTGTTATTATGTTGTGACCAACATAATGTACATATGAAAATGAGATCTCAAACAAAAATGAAGAACTTCTAGACTCTTTAATTGTCTTATTTTCTGATTTTGGAAAACCGCAAGTACTACTATTCATCCACAGTAAATGGTTTTTATTTTTTGAGATTGTCATTTTTGGTGTATCTTCAGCACGATGATATAACTGAGGGTGGAATTCAGCAATGCTTTTTGCATTCCTCAGACTAAAGGATATGAATTGTCATAACCTTTTAAAATATTGGCACATCTATATTCATGAAAAAACGAGTGAGCATTAATGTACTTCTTTAACAAGTTGTCAAATTACATTTGCCTTGCAAAATCTAAGATTATGTACATTGAACCTTTTCCGTTGCTAGTTGTATTCTTTTATGCATCTTGATATTATAGATTTATTATCAGTGTGACTCTGCTGAAATGCTTTTTGCTCACCACCAACAATGTTGAATGTGTTTTCTGAATATTCTTACAGGAGAGCACTGCTTATTGCCACTAGTGTAGCCATTGGTGGAGCAGCTGCTACTGTGTATGTGCAGTCACAGAATAGGAGCAGAAGGCAAAAGCCTTTTGGTCAATCAAATGGTGTTAAGGAGGATAAAAATGAGTCTGATCAGTTGACAGTAAAAACGAAGAACGTAGGAAAGAGCCGGAAAAAGAGAGGAAATTTTAGGTCTCTCCAGGTGTTGGCTGCAATTCTGTTATCACGTATGGGACGAATGGGGGCAATGGACATTTTATCTTTGGCGGCTATTGCAGTAAGTGTTTTTAGTGAAATTGTGAAGTTTAGCTAATGACATATATTTGTTTTCCATCTTCTCTGTAGATGATACTCTTGTAATTATCTGCCTATATTGTTTGCTTTGGTTTTATTTAGTGAACTGCTGTCTTTCTGTATTTTTTGAATATCTTTGTAAGGATTTGACAGATGACTTCCAGTATTTTTATCATTTGTGTAACTCAACTATACAGTTGAAGATGCTTTTCAGTTTCTTTGGATCGCTTCTCTACCTTTGATTAAGGCACATGCTGCATTTGATATAATATGCATCAGCCAATGTGTCATGATATTCGTCTTAATGTTTTTTTGTGCATTGTCAGGTTTCTCGAGCTGCTGTAAGCAACAGATTAGCCAAAGTACAAGGATTCCTTTTCCGTTCTGCTTTTCTCCGGCGTGTACCAGTATTTCTTCGTCTTATTATTGAAAATATGTTACTTTGTTTTCTCCTGTCAACATTAAATTCCACCTCAAAGTATGTTACTGGAACTTTAAGCCTAAGGTTTCGAAAGATTTTGACAAAGATTACACATGCTCAATATTTTCAGGTAATTTCTGATGCTGCTTAAACACAAGATAACTGCATATTTTCTTTGGTTTCACATGTTGCCTGTATTCAATTCTTGTTGCTATCTTTTATATGAACACCCTTGAATAAAAATTACTATGGAAATTAATTTACTTACAAGTATTTTATACAATATTAGGAATTCGATTATTTATCAACTACTTGAAGAGTAAGCCATTACGTGGTATTTGATTTGTGCACTCTTGACCTATGCATCACATCAGGTTGCTGAATTTCAGTCAAATTTCATTTTGCACTTCAATGCACAATAAAAAGTATTTTCCAGCCCAAAACACCATTTTCAACACCTCAAACAAAACATTATATTCAACTATTTTTTCCATTCCAAAAAATTTAAATTCCTAAACAACTCTGAACACTGAAAACATCCCAAAGCACAATTAAACACACTCATTGTTCGTCCATTGCCCTTACATTTAGCCAATCAAGGTCTGTTAGCTTTTCAATGGAGATTAGCTTAGGAAGCTCTGCACAAAGAAAAACTGTAGTTTCTTCCACCTTTGCCTTTGTTGTACAATTCCTTACATCCATTTTTTAAGGTGATAATGGAATCTAACACATTAGAAATGTATTAAATGTTTGAATCCTTTTTGGTAAATTTGGATGGGAACTTAAATGAAGCTACATATTATGATATTTTTGGCTTGGTTATGTAGTACTGGTCATTAGAAATTTAGTAAATGTACTTCATTTCAACAGATTTTTTTAGATGAAAGTCTTTTAATTGAAACAAATACTTTTTATCCTCTTGAAAAACTTATTATGATCATTTCATAATGTAATGATATTTGATATTAGGAGTAATGATAGTATTTGATTTTGATCAGAGACTACCAATTTCAGAATCATGATGTTGTTCAGTCTTAGTTGATTTTAAGTTTTCATCTATCCTCTCGTATTTCGGAAAGGTTGTCAACTTAATCTATCCTTTATGTTGGACTGCGTAATCTTTATAGAACATCATCTTTACCCTATTTTGCCAGCCAATTTTTTGGTTTTGTAGTTGATCTATTCCTGAAACTGTATCCTGCCTCTTGTCTTAGTTTTCACATTAATTCGTGGAAACTTGATGAATATATCAATGGCATTTCATCTGGCCTAATTGAGAAAAATATTTCATGCAGCGTTGGTCTTGTTACACAGTTGTTTGCTAACTGCATTACCTAATAATTTCTTTTTCAAATAGCTCTCTAATTTGTCCTCTCTTTGTGTTAAGAATATGGTGTATTACAAAATGTCTCATGTTGATACCCGGATAAGCAGCCCTGAGCAGCGAATTGCCAGTGATATACCAAGGTTCTGTTCGGAATTGAGTGACCTTGTGCAAGAGGATTTATTTGCCGTTACAGATGGAATACTTTATGCCTGGCGTTTATGTTCGTATGCAAGCCCAAAATACATCTTATGGATGATGGTAACTTACAATATTGTACTCTGGATTCTTCATTGTATACTCCAATCATTTGATTTAGTGAGTTATTATATTACTTTGACAATTTGTACATTTCTGTATTCTTAAATCTTAGGCCTATGTGTTGGGGGCAGGGGCCACAATTAGAAATTTCTCGCCTGCATTTGGAAAACTTATGTCCAAAGAGCAACAGTTGGAAGGGGAATATAGGCAATTGCATTCACGATTAAGAACCCACGCAGAAAGCATAGCCCTCTATGGTGGAGAAAAAAGAGAGGAGTTCCATATTCAGGAGAAATTTGAGAATCTCGTAGGGCATATGAGGGTGGTTCTTCATGATCATTGGTGGTTTGGCATGATTCAGGACTTCTTACTCAAGTATCTCGGTGCTACTGTTGCTGTTGTGCTGATTATAGAGCCGTTCTTTGCTGGCCATTTAAGGCCGGATTCTTCTACACTTGGACGTGCAGAAATGTTAAGCAATTTAAGATATCATACTAGCGTTATCATGTCACTGTTCCAGTCACTGGGAACTCTTTCAATAAGTTCAAGAAGACTCAACCGCCTAAGGTATTTCTTGTTCAGCTGTTTGTCAAAGCCTTAATTTCTTAGTATCAGAAAAGTATCGTAGTTGGTGAGTTCCAAAAGCATAGTGATCTTATATGACATCACTTAATCACCTCATAGGAAATCAATTCTTTCTTTTCCTTTTTGTCAAATGATGCATGGATCAATTATTTTCAGCCGTTTGCATATAATTGCAAACTAACCGCCTCAACTAGGGATGTTTTTTAAGACCATATTTTTTCACTGCAGTTTGATTGTGGAAGGACTGCTACTGCCTTGATGTGTTTCTTTGAGACGTTACATATTCTAATATTTCCTTAACAAATCAAAAGCCTAAATTTTGTTTGAGAAGATCCTGAGAATAAGGTGGAAAGCACATAACTGAAAGCTCTGTAAATATTGGCATGAGTATGTATATACAAGGCATTCTTTTCTTGTTTTAATGAACTTATTTTGCTTTAAATATTTGAAATTTGGAAGATATCTCCCAGCTTCATGTTTTCAGAGAACAATCTTCATAGGTTTTGAACTTGATTTTAGTCTATTGGTTTTTTTGACATATATGCCATGTTTGTCAATGTATTTTTGGTCACATCATGTGTATTTTGTGGGTTTCTTTCATGTTTAAGACTGTAAATTAGAGTGGTTTTAATTTAAAATGATAGAGAACATGGTGACTGCTTAATTATCATACCTAATGTTGGACCTATTCACGATATGTGAAATACCAATCTCAGAAGAAGAGGTTTCTTTGTGTTGTATGATGATGATATTCTATGTGGATCTTGGCTAGTTGGTTCTTGTTTTTATTAATACTGCTTTAAATTATAATTTGTGCTTGTTCTGATATTTTTTATATTCTGAGGCTAGGTAGCAGATCAGCTAGGAAATAACATTGTAGCTTAAGCTTCTGCTGTAGTTATCATGATTGCTATCTAGCGCCATTATCTAGCGAGCAAGTTGGACTTCCCTTGTTTGGTTACTTATTATGCACTGTCTTTTTTTGGAAATGCAGCGGTTATGCAGAAAGAATTCATGAACTCATGGCTGTATCCCGAGAGCTTGCCGCACGAGAAACATCTTCTCAGCAGGCTGATGGTAGCAAGAATTATTTTAGCGAGGCAAATTACATCGAATTTGATAATGTCAAGGTAGAACAAAATTTGGATCTTTTAGTTGGCTTTTATAGCATTCTCTTTCTGTTTATAATCCTCAAAGTAAATGGTTCCTTCAGGTTGTCACCCCAAGTGATAATGTCTTGGTGGAGGATTTAACTCTTAAGGTTGAGTCGGGTTCTAATCTGTTGATTACAGGTTTGTTCTATTGGTTGTTCTGTGTAAGCATTTGTTTGCAAGTTGCTTATAATTATTTAATTCACTGTATGAAGCACTGTTATTTGTAGGATAAATGATTAGTTTTGCTACAACCATCCCTATCAGATTTCCTGCATTTGATAACTGTAATCAGCATCAAAGAGAATAAGAGATAGCTTCTTCATTCAGTATAAATGTGTTGCTCCATTGGGGCCTTTCCATACATTTATTCTTCATGAATACTGTAGTTATGTACAGATGGGAGGATTTCTTTATATTTTTGTGCAACAATTTCTAGTTTGATGCTTAACAGTTTGCTCAATCAATTTAAGGTCCAAATGGAAGTGGAAAAAGCTCTCTCTTTCGAGTTTTGGGTGGTCTCTGGCCATTAATATCTGGTCATATAACAAAACCTGGCATTGGTTCTGATCTAAACAATGAGATCTTTTATGTGCCTCAACGACCGTATACAGCTTTGGGAACTCTACGTGACCAGTTAATTTATCCTCTTAGAGCAGATCAAGAGGTGGAACCCCTGACGCAAAGTGCCATGGCTGATCTGTTAAGAAATGTGAGGTTCTCTTAATAAAATATGTTCCTTAAATAAACTATTATTTCTGCAAAGGTTCTCTATTGAATTATTTGCAGAACTTTGTTAAGTGGACCAGATTTTTTGTTTGGTTCTTCTTTTTGGTTTCTTAGGTGGATCTTGAGTACCTGCTGGACCGCTACCCCCCTGAAAAGGAGGTGAATTGGGGTGATGAATTGTCATTAGGAGAGCAACAGAGATTGGGAATGGCACGTCTTTTCTACCATAAGCCTAAATTTGCTATCCTTGATGAATGCACAAGTGCCGTGACAACAGACATGGAGGAACGCTTCTGTGATAAAGTTCGGGCTATGGGAACTTCTTGTATCACAATATCCCATCGCCCTGCATTGGTTGCATTTCATGATGTAATTCTTTCTTTGGATGGTGAAGGAGGCTGGAGTGTTCATCGCAAGAGGTAGGATCCTGAAATTACATTTGTTTCTAATTTCCCTGCTCAGAAGTGTAGATGGTTTCTGAACATATCTTCAATTCGTAGGGCGGGTTCTCCAACTCTTTCCAATTCTGAGTTTGTAAACAAAAGGAGTTCTGATACAGAGCGCCAAAGCGATGCCATGACTGTTCAGCGGGCATTTGCCAATTCTAAAAGGGTCTGGTTTTTACAGTTCTTTTCTTTTTATTTATTTATTTTACCATGGATGCATCTGCATTCATCATATATTATAAACTTTCCCATGTGTAATAATTGTCAGGATGCAGCATTTTCAGTTTCTAGGTCACATTCTTCCAATTTGATAGCTTCCTCGCCAAACATGGAGGACTCTCCATTGCCTGTTTTTCCACAGCTACAAACTGCTCCAAGGATATTACCTTTGAGAGTAGCTTCCATGTTTAAGATACTGGTAAAAAGTTTTAGCTTCCAGACCTTCAACTGTACATTTTCATTTGTTGGTTATACGCCTGTTGTGAAATTTCCATGACACTCTATAAAAGAGTATTGGAGAACTGGATAATATGTTTTATTCATAGACTGATCTTTGATGAAATAATACATAATATAGGTACCCACAGTGCTTGATAAGCAGGGAGCACAACTCCTTACGGTTGCTGCACTAGTTTTATCTAGGACATGGATATCAGATCGTATTGCTTCCTTAAACGGTATTTAAATTGAATTAAATGGTTAAAGTGGTCCTTTTTACTTCTTTGTGATGAATTGGAATTATGAGCAAAGCATTAAAATACAATGCTATTCAATAGGGACAACTGTTAAGTATGTTCTGGAGCAAGATAAAGCTTCCTTCGTTAGGTTGATCGGAATCAGTGTTCTTCAAAGTGCAGCATCCTCCTTTGTTGCGCCATCTTTGAGGTATTTCTATTATTTTCCAAATATTTATAGACTCAAATGTGTGCAGACATCATATCATGGAACGGTCATTTCCCCCTTCCGATCGGAATCTACACAGTTTTTAATAAAATTTAATAACCTCATTTTTGTGTGGTGTAAGGTTAGAAGTTCAAACTTTGTTCACTATCAAATAGAGTTTGGGTGTATAATTAGGAATATTGTTTCTTGTTACTTGTATAAAAAGTTAAATTATATTTCTGGTTTGTAATGTTGTAACTGCTGCTGCTGATCCATTATAACCAGGCTAGAAAGTTTGAATTAACACGTGAAAGTGGAAAGAAACAACAGTGGACAATAATGTCGTTTACAGCATGTGTTCTGTTCTTTATACAGGCACCTGACAGGTTTGCTTGCCCTTGGATGGAGGATTCGTCTAAGTAAGCATTTGCTTAAGAATTACCTGAGAAAGAATGCTTATTATAAGGTAAGGGTTTGCTATTATGCACTAAGGACTTGTATAGCATGAGACAAAGATGCTCCCTTAATTCCATATCAAATTGAATAAATAATTTTCGCATATGGTACTTCAAAAAGTATGCATATTATAAGGTAATGGTTTGCTATTACGCACTAAGGCCTTGTATAGTATGGGACAAAGATGCTCCTTTAATTCCATATCAAATTGAACAAATAATTTTCTCATATGGTGCTTCAAGAAGTATAACAGTACTGTTCAATTTAATGAAGACTGCTAATGTTTACTGGTTAACTTATATAATGCTAAACTCATCTGATGGTTGTATTTCTATATTGAAGCAGCAAGATATTTGAAAAAGTAATGTTAATAGCATTGTTTAGCCACTTGCAATAATTTATGAATGAATTGCTTTATTTAAGAAATTGTGAAGATAATTATCGCAAAGAGCAAAGGGCTTTACAATTTCAAGAGACCGAACTTCCAAAATTGCATTAAATGACGTATTGGAGATATTTTTAGGTTTTTCAAATGTCCCGGGTAAATGTTGATGCTGATCAGAGATTAACACAAGACCTGGAGAAGTTAACAACTGATTTGTCTGGATTGGTCACTGGAATGGTAAAACCAATTGTTGATATTCTATGGTAAGTACACACCAATTGGTTAATAGGTTATTACATTATGAATATTTTGTGTAACAACCTCAATTATCTCTGGTTTTCAGGTTCACCTGGAGAATGAAGTTGTTGACTGGTCGAAGAGGTGTTGCTATTTTGTATGCATATATGCTACTAGGTTTAGGTTTCCTCAGAATTGTTACGCCTGACTTTGGTGACCTAACCAGTCGTGAGCAGCAACTGGAGGGAAAGTTTAGGTCATTGCAACTTTATGTGCTTTCACTTACTTAGTGCGAAAACTTGAACAGCATTCTTATTCAATACTTGGTATATCAGGTACATGCATGAAAGATTGCGAGTACATGCAGAATCTGTTGCGTTTTTTGGTGGTGGTGCCAGGGAGAAAGAGGTAGAAATTAAAACCTTGCATTATGCTTGGAAAAAAAAAAAAAAAAAACAGACTTCCTTTTCCTTCCAAAGAAACAAAATTTGATGTTATTTGGTTAGCATGAATTGTAAAACTTTCTGTTCTCCATTAGACAGTGGTGCCAAAGAGTGGTCTAAATGCTATGATTATAAAATCTTATTAAAATGGTTACACAATAATCCTTGATAACTATGATGCTAAGAGATGTCAGATAAATTACTGTTGAATCTCTCAGTATGTACTATTCAGTGGCAATTGTTGTTTTATCATCTGTCTTCTTGCTAATCAGTTTTAGTTCTAATAGAATTTTCTTCTGTATACAGGTGATTGAATCCAGATTTAGAGAACTTTTTAACCACTCAATATTGCTTCTTAAAAAGAAATGGTTGTTTGGTATAATTGATGACTTTGTGACAAAGCAACTTCCCCATAATGTAACATGGGGATTGAGTTTGTTATATGCCATGGAGCACAAAGGTGATCGAGCCTTGACTTCAACTCAAGGTAAGGCAAACCCCCAGAAATTAATTAATTTGCTAAAACTTTGCTGCAAATAATTTTCATTCATACTGTATTGTATTCATTTCAGGTGAATTGGCACATGCATTGCGATTTTTAGCATCTGTTGTGTCTCAAAGCTTTTTGGCTTTTGGTGATATTCTTGAACTACATAGAAAATTCCTCGAGCTTTCAGGAGGCATCAACAGAATTTTCGAGCTTGAAGAACTTTTGGATGCTGCTCAGCATGGTCAGTATATGGTCTTCTTTCCTTCATCCCTGAGAATTCTTTCTTGTTTTAATATGATTACAGTATTAAATATCTATCTATCTAAAATATTAGACACAATTGAATATAGTCTTCTCTTTTTTTGGTTGGTGTATGTGTAGTCAATCTGATAATGCTGTGCTGTGCTGTGCAGATCATATTGATCGATCTTTTTCAAGATCCAAATGCACAGAATCTCTTTCAGAGAATATTATTTCTTTCTCCGAAGTGGATATCATCACGCCTACTCAAAAAATGCTGGCTAGACAGTTAACATTTGAGATTACTCCAGGGAAAAGCCTGCTCGTCACTGGTTAGTAGATTGCCATATTTTGGTAGCATGTTGGCTCATCAAAACAAGAAATGGGTTTGACAATATTATACGAGTTATTCTTAGACTTCCTCCCCTCCCCTCCCCCTATTTTTTTTTTTTTTAAAGGTCCAAATGGAAGTGGGAAGAGTTCTATTTTCAGAGTTCTTCGTGGCCTTTGGCCGGTAGTTGATGGAAAACTTGTTAAACCACGCCAACCCATTGACTTGGAATCTGGATTTCATTTGTTTTATGTTACTCAACGACCGTACACATGCTTAGGAACCCTAAGAGATCAAATTATATACCCGTTATCTAAGGAAGAAGCAGAGAAAAGGGTATTACATCTGATTACACAAGGTACACATTCTTGCTCTTTAGCTTCTGTATTTGGTTGCACTATGAAAAATATTCCCACAACTTGTGGTATCTGCCTATCTGGGCATGCTGTATATCTATTGTCCGTTATAGGTGTGCTCTCTTGATATTTTTCACTTTTCCTGCTCTCAAGGAGATTCCACGTATTTTGAACATGCCACTGATATAGTTTGGATATCAAATGTGTATGCATAACATCAAACTCTTGGTTAATCTTTATTGTTATGTGCATATCTGGACAGGATTATTTCCTACTATTTGCTTAAGATTTGACAGTGCAGAGATAATATAGTATTTTTGTTCCACTAAAAGCTTCTCATTTTATCTTTAGTTGCATAATTTGACTATTAACCTTTTCCCTAGAATTGACAGTGAATTTTAATTTGGACCATTTTACATTCTGATCACAATTTTCTACTCTACAGTGACACCGATCAACTTTAAAAATTGATGGAATATAACTATTAATAATGCCAAAAATGTTTCATAGTTAATATAATGCAACTTCCTGGTTGGAACTTAATATAAATTGTGGGACGTAACATTAAAGATTGTGAAATTATGAAATTTAAAGTAAAGTGAGGCCAACAGAACAGAACTTCTATTCTGCCTGCCACCATGTTGATGCTATTTCATTCATTTTTTTGCTATACCATGAGGCATAGGCTTACTCACCTGCAAGTCTATATCCTTTAATTGAATGTTATGATTTCTCAACATAGGTGAAGAATCTGTTAGCTCGACCGAAGTTTTGGACACACATCTGAAATCCATTCTGGAAAATGTTAAATTACTGTATCTCCTGGAGCGAGAAGGTAAATGGGATACTTCCCGAAACTGGGAAGACATTTTGTCACTTGGGGAACAGCAGAGATTAGGCATGGTGAGTTTGTGTATAGCTATATGCTCCAATAGTTTGTTGACAAAGCCATACTGTGCATGATTTTTAATGTTCTGCTTCATGTCTTTCCAGGCACGCTTGTTCTTTCACAAGCCCAAATTTGGAATCCTTGACGAGTGCACCAAGTAAAGTGAATTCCTTACATTTGTAATTCTGAAAATGTGAAGGCCAACAGTTCCATGTTTACTTACCCCCTCTTTTTTAAATACAGTGCTACCAGTGTAGATGTCGAAGAGCAGCTTTACCAGCATGCAAGTAACCTAGGCATAACAGTGATAACCTCCTCGCAGGTAATAACATGGGATTTCTCAGTCTATTTTCTGGTATTTTTCCCAAATGCATTTTACCTGGAAAAAAAATAAAAATGGCATTTTTAATGAGTCCCACCCACAACTAGGAGGTAAGTTGCAATAATAGGTCAGTGATTAATTATTTCTGTCTTATGATTTGTCGGGGAAATTAAGATTAATTGCAAATGACATGGCGAAATTCATTCTAGTCCTCTAATTTGAAGTTGATTGCAATAGTAGGTCAGTTTTTAATGATGTCAACCTGTTAAGTGGTCAGCATTGCTTAAAATGACCGAAAAAAGAAATTGCTTGGTGAGAAGACATTATATTTGTAAATATATGCATCTCAACTGGTGTTTCATCATTGATCTTAACAGCCTAGAACTTTTAAAGACTAAGCTTATTACTGCCACCAACGTCTTGCAAGATTAAAATAGAAACTATCATTTCTTATGTAATTTACATTTCAAGTTTCATTCCTTTCCCTCCACATATCTCACTCTTTCTACATGTACTACAAGCTTGATTGTATTCTTCGGATATTGTCACTAGAGCTGTAAAACAAAAGAACAGTTCGCGAGCTTGGCTCGGTTCAGCTAGTTTGAGCTCGTTAAGAACTCGTTCGTTAAGCTAAATGAGCCAAATACGAACATAAACTTTAGCTCGTTATATTTACAAACGAGCTCGAGCTTGTTCGCGAACGTTCGACAATATTTATTAGAAAAATTAAATTAATATTTTTATACTCCCTCCGTCCCATATACCATGTCCATGTTGTCGTTTCTGTCTGTCCCACGTACCATGTCACTTTCTTTTTTTGAAAAATGATTATACACTTTAATCTTATTTTAAACTTTTTAATTTTTTTTTTAATTTTAATTACACTAATTAGTTATCTTAATCTTAATTTATAATTATTTATATTATAGGATAATTGTTTTCACTAATACATTCTTAATTATCTACTAATTACACATCTCCTAAAATACCGTGTCTACAGTGTAGCAGACACGGTACGTGGGACGGAGGTAGTATTGAATAAGTATAGAGATCTTTATAAATATTATATTTCATTCTATTTTTTATTTAAATTTATTAATAAAAATTTATAATTATTATTAATTGAATTTAGATTTTTTAAAAATTAAATAAATAAAATAAAATTTCTTTTAACGAGCGAAATTGCTAAACGAGTGGAGATCAAACAAAAATTTCAGCCCGTATCAATTAACAAACAAACATAAGTTGAGCTCGAGTCTTTAACGAGTTGAGCTCAAACATGACAAGCTTGGCTCAATTCAGCTCGTTTATAGCTCTAGCTGTCATGCCGGATTTACAAATTTGCAATATGCCAAGTTCCTAAATCTAATGGTGCATATATGTGTGTGTTTGCAATTGCAGCGACCTGCTTTGATACCGTTCCACTCATTGGAACTGCGGTTGATTGATGGCGAGGGCAAATGGGAGCTTCGCACAATCAAACAAGAGTAAGCCACAATTACTGCTCTGTTCTGCTCTGTCCTGCCTCGTTATTTATTTACCAATTTGTCGCCAAAAAATGCACATCATCTACAATACAGTCCGCGGGAAGCATCGACGCCTCTGACCTCTTATATATAAGCCTGAATAATGAAAAGAAACTATAGCATCACAGTACATATGATTTCCTCCCTTTTGGTGCTTTATCTTTTGCTGATAGAGAGTTGGAACTGCAGGAATCATTATATAGCTAGCTAGCTAGAATTCACAATCTATGCAAACTCAGAATTTTAATTATAATAATAATTATTATTATTATTTTTAAAGTGTTGTATGATATGATATTGGAACATTTATTGGGCCTCCCTAAGCAATAAACGTATCTCTCTGTCGTCTAATTATTTATTTTGAAACGCTCTTAATCTTATTATGTTTGTAGCTTATCATAGCCAATGTTCTTACAATGATTTTTATTACTCTACTTGTTAGATCACTGCAATGACGTTATGCTTATGTTTTAGTTACATGTTTGTTTTAGTTATATATATATATATGTGACATAAAAATATAACAGCACACACTTTATAAAATATTAGTATGCACTGTTAATTTTATTTTATATATAATGTAAATTTATATTTTGTGTTGTGTATATTATATATTAAACTACCGCTATCACTACAAAAATATATATATATATATAATTAGTTACAATATTTTTAATACGAAATATTTTTTAGATAAAACGTATCATTTAGTAATAAGAATTTATTTCTTCGTTAAAAATAAATTATGTACTACAAAATTAATTTTATTGTTAAAATATTTACTTTCATAACAAAAGGTTTAATTACAAAATTATTTTTTCAAAAAAAAAATCAAAATAAATTCAATATAATTAAAATAATTAATTTTAGTCTCAATAAAAAAAATTATGAATTTAAGTCTCAATTGCAAATAATTTTTTAATCAATTTAAGTCCATCTTAACAAATCAACAAACACAGGTGATGTTGCTGCTGATAGGGCACACACACCACACTACCGTGTTTGATATCAACAAATGGAAACAACAACATTCAATTTGTAAGACCGTGGAGCAAGTTAAGATGGTGGAGAAGAATTTCGGTGGAGCCGGAACGGAAGCAGACCGTGGGGCTACAGTGGCACCAGGTGGCGATCTGGTTCCAGAGCCGCCGGTGCCTGCTGAGAAGGAGACCTCCTCAAGGCCCACAACGACCAAAAGCTCAACGCCTAAGAATGATGTGGCGGTGGCGTGTTATGGCGGATTGCGTGTTGCTTGAATTTGAAACCATCCAGAAATTCCCAAAATATCGAGTGGAGAGCTCCGGCGGTCGATTGCAGAAGGTAGCTTCCGATTCGATGGTGCTGCGGCGATGTTGAAAATACCTAAGTGAAATTGAGAAAATGTTCCTTAATTTCTTTCTTCGATTGGAAAACTTTCCGATGCCGGAGAAAATACCTCAGCGATGTTGCAACATGGCGTCGTGGGGCAGGTATCTCAGCTGCGAGCCTGCAACGGCACCGACATACTCGAGCCGGAGCTCCAGAGGGAGATATTCAACGACGTCAAGTTCGCAGGGACCGTGCCGTTCCGCATGCCGTTGGACTTATGGTCGAGCTTTTGTTTGGTTGGACCCGGATCCGATTGGACCCGACAGACCCGATAGTTTCAGAATTTTAAATATAAACAGGACCCGGACCGGGACCCAGACCCGGCTAAAAAATTATCTATTTTTTTAAACAATTATTAAAAAAAATAATAACAAATAATAAGTAACAACAACAGTAATAATTCAATCCAAATAAAAATAAAATTAAATATTGCATATTATGATATATTATAATAACCAAACATGTAATCTTTTGTACATTCATACGTAAAAAATCTTAACACATTAACACAAATCATCAATCACAACGTAAGATAACAACAATCTTCATTGTTCATCGTCATCTTCTTCTTCATCGTCAAATGCTTTTGAGCATTCGGAAGTCAAATTACCACATAAAATAATAAATCAACAAATATTATAAGTCTTACAATATAATAAAATATAAATATATTAATTAAAAATATATTAAAATTAACTTACAATTTGCTTCATTCCATAACCAATGTCAAGCACATACTAATGCTTCCAAAGTAGACGGATTAAGTCTACTACGATGAGAGTTAATACTTTTTCCACTATTACTAAATGTAGATTCGAAAGCAACCGTAGAAACTGGAATAGCCAAAATATCCTTTGCCATTTTCTGTAAGTAAGGGTACTTGACTCCATTCGTCTTCCACCAACCTAATATATCAAAATATGGTGTCCTCGGTAAAACGCTTTCTTCCAAATAAATATCCAACTCCGACATCGTAGAAATCCTAGAAGAATCATTTATACTTGCCACAAATTGATCGTATTTCTTCAATGGATCTAAATCAAATGCATCAGCGGAAACAACATTGCGAGTCATCGCACCCCCCAAATCCAACATTCCAACATCAACCACCGAGCTCATATTTGTAGAAGACGTGGCTCTAGATTGGTAATCAATCAACAAATCATAACAATTTTGACGAACTTGATTAACTTTAATCTCAGCTTCATCACCATATATCATATTAAAATAAAATTCAACCAACTTCAACTTGTACCTAGGATCCAATACAGCAGCAACCCCCAACATGATATGACAATCACTCCAATATTTTTCATACTTGGCAAGCATTTTTTTCGTCATTTCTTGAACCAATACATTTGAACTCTTCACCCATTCATCTAATTTTGATTTTATCTCACATATATGAGCAAAATAAAAATTTGATGTAGGATAAAGAGTTCCAGAAAACAACTTTGTCACCTGATAGAAAATCTTCAACTTTCCACATATTTCAATTGCAATTTCTCAATCCTCATTACTTGGCTCACTACTGTAATTTCTCTCTCGGCATTTAAGTCGTGGGAACACATATTTATAAATAATAGTTGTTTCTAACATCAAATAAGTAGAGTTCCAACGAGTTCTGCAATCCATGACTAACCTTCTAATAATTGATATGCAATTAACTAGCAGCTTCTTCAAATTTCTCAATTCTAAAATGTGAAGCAGTCCAATAAATCACACTATCACGCACTTTTTCAATTGTGCCACTAATTATTTCCAACCCATCTCTGACAATCAAATTTAAAATATGTGCAGAGCAACGCATATGCAGTACCTTTCCATCCATCAGCATATCTTTTGATGACAGTTTCCCCAAAATTTGTTGAATCATCGAATCATTGGTAGTACAATTATCAACCGTAATAGTTGATAATTTCCTATCAATATTCCAGTCCATCAAAGACAAAATGAGGACACTTGATAAGACTTCGGCGGTATGAGGAGCCGGTATATAAACATACCTATGAAATAAAAGAATTGTTCGTAAGTTTCAATTATCTATACAACAAAAATACAAAAATACTAAAATAAAAAATTATTTTTAAGTAAATATACCTCAAAATGACATTCTTCAAAGTCCAAGAGTCATCAATATAATGTCCAGTAATTGACATAAATCCTTTCTTATTATTGCTTGATGTCCACATGTCCGTTGTGATAGCAATTCGACTATTAAACTTGTCCAATATCTTATAACACTTGTTTTTTTCAACCTCATAAATCTTAAAAATGTCACATTTCAAAGTGTTTCTTGTAATCATGCTAAAACATGGTTGAAGATTACCAACAAATCTTCGAAAACCAATATGATCGACCATTGTCAATGGATAATCATGCAAAATCACCATTGTTGCAAGATCATGCCTGGAATCTTCTTGATTAAACACACGGGTTTCAAGTGCTTGACCTCCACCAAGTTTTTTGCTTCCCATCATCATAACACTTTATCAAATGTCCATTTTCCTTGGTCTTTTTTTACAAACTTTTTCAAAATGCTTCTTCAAATTTGTCGTTCCATAACCACTCGGTGCTTTGAGACGGACTTTGCAGTAGTTGCATTTTGCATATATCATATCATCAATCTTTTTCCTTTCAAAATGATCCCACCATTCCGATGTCCTTTTTCTTTTACAATCGGTAGAGTCATTAGTTTCCAAACTATCATTGTTAGTATTTTCTTCCGGAGTTTATTGTGTATTCATATTTTCCTAAATACTGTTAACCGACGGAATAGAATTGTCAGCTCCTTCGGAGTCCATCTACAAAATAACAAAATAATGCACTTGAGAACTATGAATTATCAATTAAGTTTTAAAAAAAATTGCATAGGCAACAGAGAAGACAACAGACAACACATAATTTGAATTTAAGAAACACTACATTTGAATTAATTTCTAATTTTTACAGTAGTAATAATAATAATAATAATAATAATAATAATAATAATAATAATAATAATAATAATATTAAATTAAACACCATCTTTATTCAAAACTGAATCAACCGGACAAATAAAAAAAATTCAATCACCATCCTCGATTTCGAACTCAACCTGAACAAAAAATTCTTCTTAACAATCGTTGTTGCAATTTAGAACTCAAACTGAACAAAAAAAAAATAATTATTTTTTCATTCATTTACTTTTAATTTTTTTATACCAAAAACCCAACAAATAATAAATAAAAAAAAAATCTCACACACAAAAATAAACTTACCGTAATGGTGTCGTGCCTGCGGCCTGCATGGGAGGGGCTGTCGTGACTCGTGAGGAAAAAAGAGGGGAGGGGCTGTTGTAAGAAAAATAGAATGGAGGAGGCTGCGTGAGAAAAAAAGAGGGAGAGGCTGCGCTGCTAGGTTTGAGAAAATGCAATATAATTCAGTTTTTTTTTTTAATTAAATAGCGGGTCTGGTCCGGGTCCGGGTCCGGGTATGGGTCGGGTCCATGCTTGGACCCTGGACCCGACCCGACCCTTAAAAATTTATTTTATCTAGACCCAGACCCGACCCTAGACCCATATATTTGGACCCGACCCCAAATAAATGGGTCGGGTCTCGGGTCGGGTCTCGGGTCTATCCGGACCCATTGCCATCCCTAGTTAAAACTATTTGGTTAAAAAATTATAAATATGTTGTTGCTAGAACTCTTTTGTTATGAATTCTAATTTTATAGTAAAAAACCTTTAGGTACATGATAACTCTTGATTTTGCGATATTTTATATCTTATATTTATTTAATTATTTATTTATTTATGTCAAAGTTTGGTATTATTTATGTTAATTTATTCTAATAATTGTATTCATTTCATCTAGTTTGTATAATATTAAATTATTAGTTTTTAAGTGTAATTTATAATTATTTTGGTGTATAAATTAAAATAATTTATGTGTTTCTTGAATTATATTTTTTGGCATTATTTATGTGCTATTTAAGTATTTAA